CATTTGTGATTGCAATGGTTATAAATCAGGGGTGTCAAACTGGATTTCTTCAAGGGCCAGATCAGCATTGTAGTTCTCCTCCAAGGGCCGACTGCGGGGTGGTGGTGTAGAGATGGACTGGACGCCTCCTGCAGCACCCTGTTGGACAAAGCGAGGCGCAGACGGGCTGCATGAGCCCCCCCTGCACCCCATTTTTGCCCTGGGTGGCCTCTTGCAGCACCGTCAGCCAAACAGGCACCGCGGGCAGGGGTGGTGTTACTACCGGTTCAGTGACTACGTTTTGCGCGTGCGTGTAAAAAACCTTAGGCTGTGCCGCCCGGACAGCTGAAAAGCGCTGTGCGCAGGTGCGCAGCATTTGAAAAGCCACTTTTTTCCTGCTTTTTCAACCTCAGCTGTGCCGCGCAAAGCAGCTGAGGTTGAAAAAGAAGGAAATAAAGGACAGGTAAGAACCCGGGCAGGTGGGTGGGCTAAACAGCAGCAAACACAGAACCAGTTTGGTGTCTGATGCTCTTCAGAGCCACCGGTTCTATAGAGCTGGGCGGAACCTGTAGCATCCCACCCCTGACTGCGGGCCAGTCCTTTGCTATTTCCAGGCCAGCCCCATGGGCCAGTTTTAACCATCCCATGAGCCGGATCTGGCCTAAGGTCCTTGAGTTTGACACCCCTGTTGTAAATCAAGTCACCCATATGATCGACCTGATTTTATAAATTATTTTGCAGCAGATTAAGCAAATGCAGTAGTCGTAAAGCAGCTACTTCAACAGTTAAGCAAGCCAATGGTTTACTATGCTCAGGTATTGCTAAAACCTGGAAGTAAATGCTAGTTTTCAGCAAAACCATTGTAAAATGCAGTCATGTCACTGCAGGATGCTGCACACAGCAATACAGTTGCTGAGTGCCGAAAGCACAGTCAGGCGATGGTGGGAGATGCTGTTGGAACTTCGAATCCAGTTATAAATACTGCCAGTGAGGTCACTTACAACTTCAAAAGGTCAATAAGCAAACTGTCACAAGTTGAGGGCAACCTATATTTAAATTTTAACTAAAAAATATATGTTTTAAAACCAAAGATTAAAAATTCATAAAAATGCATGAACAAGGAAGAAAGAAGAAAAGGAAATCAAAGAAAAAGTTAAGAGTGCAAGAAAGAAAAACAGATACAAAGATACAAAGAGGCTTCCAATCCTATAACTACAAGTATAAATTTACCTCTTCTTCTAAAATTAGGTCAAGGCTCTTTTCTTTTGCTAATTGATCCTATCTAATTGTCAACATCATAAATCATAACTTTATTTTTTCTGTTTTATACAAAAAAAAATCAATAAGGGATTACCAGGCAGATCGAACAAGTCAATCTGGCCATCTCAGGAAAGTTCTATTGTTTTCATCAATCATTTCTCTCTTTGTATGTATTTCCATCTTTGTGCATACTATAATCTTGCTGTGGTTATCTTACACAAAAGCAAAGTTCCATGACATTTTTCCAACTGCTTGTCTCATTAGTCCCAAGAGGAAGATTCTTTAAAATCCTTTAAATCTGTGTATGGTAATTGAATCCAAAACTCTTTTAGCCCTTTTACACATCTGCCAAGCACAGTAAAATGATCCTTCTTGTTATTCACATTTCTAAAAGTGCCTTTTATATATATTTCAGACAATGTCTCTGATGTCCTATACCAATAATGATGCTAATTTTCCTGTACCTGAACAGTAAGGGTGTTTATGAGAAAAGAATTGCAGAAAACCTTCCAGCAGATTATGTCCAAACCATAACTCTCTAGGGAGAATTCCTAAATATGAAACTGCTTGAGCTTTGCCTGACCTCATACATTTTGATACTAAAGCTTTGTTGCAGATAACAGAATCTTTCCTTATTACAGAACACAGGAATACTAATATTATGGTGTAATCAGTGAATTCAGAAAGATGTGCTCCATAATCAGGAGTATTCAATGATAAGCTTTTGGTCTGAATGACCATGGCTTATTTTTCTGTTGTCTATATGTATTGCTGGCAGTTGTGGAAGGCATCTTCAGAGGCAGGGTGAACTGCTTCAGGGAGTATTTCTGGGCAGCCCATAGGGAATTAACAGGGATTGTTAAGTCCTGCTCAGTTGTTGGCCAGTGTCAATCAATCAGTGTTATTTCTGCCATAATACTGCCTACACCAGGATACTTGGGAGTACCTTAAAGTTTGAAGATTCCAGTATAAATCGTTAAAAGTATTGTGTACGTTCATGTTTAGTTTACATGTTTACTTGTATCATCTGGCGATTCAGAGGAATAAAAACTGAAGTAGGATGAAGAGAGGCTGAACCAAAAGGCTAAGTATACATAGGTTTGAATTTATCCTTGTATTTGAGTTTCTTTAAATGCAGTAAAACTTTTCAAAGAAAAATTTACATAAGTATAGGAATTACATGTTTCAATACATTCTCACTGAACTGAAACAAATACTAAGCTACCTTTTAAAAAAAACAACTTAAAGGGTAAATACAATGTTGCCTTCCCAATCTAGTGACCTCCAGTTTATTCCAATTGCAACTCCAAAACAATGGCCTCCAATTGGGGACTTGCCACTGCTACACCATTTGGAAGGTCTCCTCTTGAAGAAGAGACTTTGTCAAATCTACTAGGGGCCACCAGGTATAGAAAACGCTTCAAAGCTGCTGCTGTGATGGTTCAGATTTATGCTCCCTTGGTTGACAGCCCTGCCTGCATTCATGGAAATAAACAGGCGAACCGAATTGCACCTTAGCAAATTCATGTGTAACCCTTACCTATCCCATTGGTGTATTAACCATTAAGCAGACAAAGCATGTGCACCAGGCCCAAAGGAGGCACCACAAAGTTGAGAATATGGCTTCGTTTGTACAGTACGTACAAAGGAGCAGGGCATCAAGATTTGTCAGTGCTTAGGGCACCAGTAAGCTTTATCCGCCACTGACCTATCCCAAAGATGTTTTTTTTTCCAAGAAGCAACTGGACTTTCTGGTTTTTCTTTGAAGCCGTTTCGCTTCTCGTCCAAGAAGCTTGCTGAGTGAAAAGCGAAACGTCTTCAAAGGAAAACCAGAAAGTCCAGTTGCTTCTTGGGAAAAATGCACCTTTGGGACAACCATGACCTGAATGAACCCTTACCTATCCACCGTCACTCCCCATTTCCCCTCCACCCCTGTCTCTTCTTGCTAACTTCAGACCGCCCGCATTGCAAGATGTCAGCTATCCGGCCAAGCGCCTTGCACAGCGTCGACTCTCAGCCGAAGAATAAGAGCCTCACGCATATGCGCAGGGCTGCCGGCGGGCTGATCCGAGCCCCGGCACTTTGGGTAAGCCAGAGAGCGCCCCCTGGCGGCCGCTGGCCGCCTATGCAGCGAGGCGGGCTTTCGCCGAACAAGGCAGCGCTGACTCAGCCAGGGCCGAAGGAAGCGCAGGGCAATGGCGCTCAGCCCCCCCGAGCGGCAGCCGGGCCCGCCTGAAACCCCGTGCCCGGCGCCCCAGCAGCAGGAAGACGAGCCGGACGCCGAGGCCGCCCTCGATTCCCAGCAACTGCGCGGCCTGGAGGCCGAGACCGGTGGGATCCCGCTCCACTCGCCCTGGACCTTCTGGCTCGACAAGTGAGTGCGGGCGGGGAGACCGGATGGGGAAGCGGGCGAGAAAAAGGGAGAGCGCTGTCTGCGCCCGGCTCGGCTCGGCTCGGCCTGGCGGTGGGGCGCGAAGGCGTCGTTCCCGGGCTCCCCGCGCCTTCACCATCCCCGGCCCGCCGGAGACACCGAACGCCTGGCGGGGGAGAGTTGGCCTTTGTTGGCTTTCTCCTCGGCCCTTCCCCCCTCACTGCGCCGGCAGGTCTCCGCTTTTTCAAGGGCGCGAATTGCCCAAGCCCGGCAAACTGGAGTCTCTTGCTCCCCTTTGCCTCAGCATCTCGGCCGCCCACGCGTGGCTCCATCGCTGGACCCTCAGCCGGGTTTGCCTAGGAGCCCGTGTCTGCCTACCTGCAAAATGCCCGCGGGCTACAAGTCTACTGACATTCTCCTTGCTATTTCTGGCAACCTCGGAAGCCTCTGTCGTGATGATGGGAGGATAAGTAATAAGGGTGGGGGGGGGTCTTAAGCAAAACGCTGGGTGGGGGAGGGGAAGGAGCTCTGCGGTGGTCACTCTTCTCCCCTCCCCCACTCAGACTTTTAAAGTGGGCAGGAATTCAACAAGTGCACCTCCCTCGGATGCCCACAAGAGTTTTGGAAAGCACATAGAAATGGCGGCAAGGCTGGCAGAGTTAGTGCCTCACTCTAAATTAAAAATGTGTGCTTTGTTTGTGTACAGTTTGGAGAAGGTGTGAAGCTACCCACTATCTAATAATTCATCTTTTATGGCTTAGTTTTAGATATGAATTGGGTTACCGTTTTTTCCTCTCCAAGAATAACAGTTGGAAGGGACCTTGGAGGTCTTCTAGTCCAATCCCCTGCTCAGGCAGGAAACCCTATACCATTTCAGACAAATAGTTGTCCAATCTCTTCTTAGAAACTGTGCTTCAAAACAAGCCCATGGCTAAGAGACTTGATTCTAGTTAACAAAATCAGAGAAAAGGGTTAGTCTGACTTTTGATACTTAGGCAATTTCATTGAACTTTTGAGTGCCTGCTTCTGAATTCTGAATATGAAGCATCACACTAATGTTATTTTAGATATTTAATTCATCTTTTCTAGAGGTTGTTTTTAATTAGTTGCACTTTTCGGATTGATCCATGACCTGCCAACCTTATCCTAAATAGCTAATGTTCTGGACTGCAAATTTTATCATCCTTGCCAAGGTATTTGTGGTGGAAGATTTTAAGTTTTTTTTTAATTATTGTGGATAGATTTTGTTTTAATTTTGGGTTGAGAGTCACCCAGAATTTGGCTATTTGCATATTTAAATAAATTAAATAAATAAAAGTTCACTAGTGGCAGTTGTAACCCAATGTATTTTGGAGAGTGTCATAGTAAAAACTGCCTTAAGGTAGGGATTCCCTGCCTGGAAAAAAAGTATTTTAGAGTGCTTTGATGTGAATGTTTTGTTTATATCTCACTTACCCAGATAATGAAGATAATTTAAGGGGAATGTTAAATGGTTTGATTTGGTTTAGTTGACAACAAATGGGAGACCTCCAGGATATTTGTAATAGTTGCTTTTTCTAACATATAAAATTTGAATCATAATTATCTTTAAGAAGTCTACATCCTAAGGAGCATTATGCTGCTCATCCTATGCCACTCCTAATTCATCATAGTATTATCTTTTTTATAAAAAAAAGACTAATAGGCAAGGCTTCCAAGATAAAATGTGTTGCTTGCACAGGCATGAACCATTTTGAAGGAATTTAAATTTTGAATTGTACACCTCCCTGTTTAAGCATTATATTGCTATGCTTTAGCCTATAAACCTCATCACTTTAGTTTAAGCTGAACTTTTTATAAATTGTTAACTGTCCCATACATTGTATCTTGATCTCTTTCTGCATTCAATATTTTAAAATTGGGCTGCCTGAGAATCTATACTCCCTACATTCATGTTATTAAACACAGAAAAAACACACCACTTATGCCTCCTCTCCATTTTACTGCAACCATAATCATTTCTAAAAATAACAAAGTATTTTTCTGCCACATTTATAAATCATGTTGACCTTTTCCCAGATCAAAACTCCCTCCATCAAAAATAATGTCAGTTATTCCAAAATTAGGCAGATATGCTTATTTGTACTGAATCAAATGATTGTGTGTGTGTGTGTGTGTGTTCTAATTTCTTGATATCCCAACACTTGTTTCACTCCCTGTCCAGTCAGATCATGTAAAAGGTAGCTGAGTTTCTTTACAGAACTGGAGTTGTAACTTGAGAAAGAAAGGAGACCTTAAGGAATAAACAGCTTCCTCTGAGGCAAGGCACTCTGGCCTAAACTATAAACTATTTAGGACCAATTGTATTTTATTAGCACTGCTTAACAGCTTGTCAAAAGAAAAGGACAAAACCAGATGATTTGTTTTCCATTTTAAATTTTAAAAGGAGTTCAATCTGATTTCAGTATAGGGTCATATAAGTCCAGAGTGCTGATTAATGACACTTATTTTCCCGTAGATATTGATTTGATGCTCAGTGAAAATCTCTGGGTATCATAAACAGTTAAAAGTACTTGGAATGTAAGTGTACAGGGAAGTGTGATATGAGGGGATAGCATTCTGTACTCCCAGTTTTCCTTCCTTTTTTTTTTTTTAGTTAGATTCCGGATTCTTCATTATACAATTAAGTACAAAATATTGTAATCTCATCCTGGAGAACTTCTCTTCATGCGGTCACTAAGAGGCAACAGTGATTTGATGGCATGTAATCAAAATCATGATGATGATGCCTAGATTGGCGCTTATTCCATACTGATGTTTTCTTGCAGTCTTTGAATTGCACACACAGGTTTTGGGTCAGATTTTTTTTTTTCATGTGTGCCTGCTTACTGAAAAATAAAGGAATACAATAAATATCCTGCTTAGAATACCATTTTTGAATCAGTGATGGGGTAACAGATGCTAACATAAAAAATAATACAGATAGTCCTCATTTAATAATTGGGATTGGAAACTCTGTCTCTAAGCAGAATGGTCTTTAAATGAAACAACACATGGCCATACCCAATTTACGATGTCAACTCCACAGGGGCTATTAAGTGAATCACCTAAGGTTGTTAAGCATAATATTACTACAGGTAGTTCTTGACTTACTGTAGTTAGGCCTTTACTTATGACCAGAAGTGAGCCCAAAATTTCCATTGCTAAGAAAAGCAGTTGTCCATTTTTATAGACCTTTTGCCATGGTGGTTAACTATACATTACAGTTAAATGTTAAGTTCCCCCATTGAGTTTGTTTATCAGAAGCTCCTAGGACCATGTTGGCGAACCTATGCCACACGTGCCGGAAGTGGCACGCAGAGCCATTTCCCCCGACACGCGAGAGATCACCCAGAAGAGCCCCACTGCGCATGCATGCACCGCTACCCAGCAGCTGATTGTCAGGTATCTGGCACGCATGTGCAGGGGGTGGAGGGGTGTGCATGGAAGATGTGCACACATGCGCAGGGATGCGCTGAGTGCAAGGGGATCGTGTGTGCATGCGCAGATGTGCTGTGCATGAAGGGAATTGTGTGCATGCACAAAGATGTGCAGCACATGAGGGGGAATCGCACATGCATGCACAGGGGGCGTGGGGGCCCCAGCACGCGTTGCCTTCTGAGTGCTGGCATGTGAGCGTGTGCAAGCGAGCGCATGCGTAATTATCGGCATGGGAGCCAAAAAAGGTTAGCCACCACTGTCCTAGGAAGATTGCAAATGACAATCCCACGTCCCCGTGACTCTGCAGCCATTGTAAATGTGCTCTGGTTGCTGTGTGCTGAATCATGATCGATTGACCATTGGGATGCTGAAGCTGCTATAACCTTAGCAACTGACACTAAACCTTTTTCAGCACTGTCCTAAGTTTGAACAGTTATTAAACAGGGAAGTAGTTAAACCTGTAGTTAAAAAAAAAGTAAAACATGAAAAGTGTGAATAGTTTAAAAGGCCTTGTTAAAATGATGAGTGTGGTTCTTCTGCATGAGAGGCAGAATGAAAGTAAATAAGCCACTGCAGAAAACTCTACTGTACATGTATTTTACAAGGTTTTTAATTATGGTAAGTAGAACAACATGCAAATAGACATCAGTTTCCAAACATAAAGTATAACCCCCATTTTGGACTATCATTCTGTAATAGAGAGATAGTTGGGTAAATACTTTCTAAAATTGGAGTAAATGTACATTTTTCTGAGAATAGCCATAGTAGCTAGAAGACTATTAACAATACTGCTTGTAGTAAATAACCCCTAATGTATTGTTTTATATGAATTAGATTCACAAATATATACAGAATTGATGGAATATACTCTTACAAATAATATCAGAGAAGATAGTCATAGTAATATTGAAATTAGGAACAGGATATTCTAAAATGATCTCCATATTCAGATAGTCCTTGGGTGGCAATTGGAACTGGAATTTCCATCGCTAAGTGATGTAGTTGTAAAGCGTGACACTGTAAGACCATGTTGCTTAGTGATGGTAATCCAGACAGTCCTTGATGCCGTTGTAATCCCAGGACCAGCTTGTTAGGTGGGAGGAAATTGCGGGTCAGTGTGCAAGAGTCATGGAGCAGGGTTGCTATAAACAGGCGCTATTGAGCATGGAGGTGTCATGGGAGATGGAGGGTACTGCAGGGAGGCACTAGAGAATGTGGGTGGGTGGGGATGCCATGTGGGTGGGTGTGCTACAGAGGGAATGGGCATGATACTGTGGGTTTGTCCATAATAATGGAGTATTGGCAGGAGGTGAGTGCTACAGAATACAAAGTCCCTGGGGTTCCTTGGAAGAAACAGTGGGGGGAGTGAAATTCCCTGCTGACTTTCCCATTGATGTTTCTTGTGAGAAGCCAGCAAGGAAGATTGTGACATCATAATTTATGTGGTGTTATAATCGCTGCAATGTCATAATTGTGACTGGGCTTCTCAGCTCCCAGATCACGATCATGAAGTTGTGATGGCCACAGCTTCAGGAACCAATACT